AAAAAAAAAAAAAAAAAAAAAAAATTATATGAGTAAATTAGAATTCTTATCCAAAAATAATTTTTCAAAATTTTAACAGAATACTCTTATCATCAGCTTCTAGTTATATTCGTTTTATGTATGTATGTATGTGTGTGTGTGTATATATATATATATATATATATACACACACACATACATACACACACACACACACACACACACACACACACACACACACATTTTTTTTTCCTGGTACCAGGGATCAAACTCAGGTCCTTGCACTCACAAGGCAGGCAGCGGCACCACTGAGCTAAATCGCCAGTCCAAGTCCAAATAACTTATATTTTGATATAAACAAAGAGTTTGGAGTGAGGGACAAGCCAAATTATATCATTTTTCATGTTACTGAAATCAAAGACTTTAAAAATATTGCCATTTCTTAGGACCAACTCAGATAGCGTATGAAATTTTTAAAAAATATCCGTTATCTGGCAATGATTTAAAGACAATCAGCGTGTTTATAGTTTGAAGGCGATTAACATATAGCGGACTCAGGTTTCCATTTTGGAATGAGAGCTGATTCACAACTGGCATCTGAAGAAGTGCACAAAGCTATTCTTACCAATTTTTCTTGAAGAGGCTGCTGAATTTTTGCTGTGGAGGACAGGGGATCATGGTGAGAAGAAGATTCCTCATCTAAAACACTCTGTCATGACACAGTGGTGGAGTATGTTGAAAAAAATGATGAAAGTTCCAAAGATACAAAATATGTCAGGCTGCAGAGCAGATAACCACATTACCACGAGCAGGCAAGAGCACTGAGCTCTACTCGCTGAGCTCTACTCGTAGGAAACACATTTGTAATTGTAAACTTCCCACTGGCTGTTACACATTAATCCATCTAGGAGTGAAATCCAAAGATGAGGAACAGGGAAGGGCATGGTTTTGTCATTAAAATCTTTAGGCAGAAGCCAAAGAATCTTGTTGGTGACATGACTTGAAATGGTGAAATTGGCGTCTATGAAAATTTCCAGTAATAATACTGTAAGACTTGAACAAGCTAAAGTGACTCCATACCAATAGGCCAGAGACTGTGCTTCTTCATATGCTAATTGCTAACTTGGCAAACAGCCCGCCCAGGGGCAAATGGTATGACAAAAGGTGACCATAGAACATTTCCGGCATAAGATAAGCAGTGTTTGGTCCTCTGGTAGTTCTGTGAATGCCCTGACCTATGTTTGCACATTTTTGTTTAGAAAAACCCTATAAAAAGGACCTCAGCCCCTGAGCAGTCGCCTCTCTGAGCTACCTGGCTCTGGGAGTGCCGTCTCGTCAGACTAATAAAGGTCTGTTTACCATCTAGCCTGGTGTGTTCCTTCCTGCATTTCTCCTTCCTCCGTTGAGCTCCTGGAGCCTCTCTGGGTTTTAGGACCCAGCATTGTAGAGGCCTTTTCAGCTGTTCACGCTCCGTGGAGTGGAAATGAGACTTAGGTCTCACAATACTGTGGTCTTACTCCAAGAGACGGATACATATCTGTCTACTAGGAAATGTTGTAGGTGTTCTTGGGTAGATGAAAGCTTCTTTAGATAGATATGGAGGTTTTTGCAGCTCGGTTGATTGCGAGGATTTTCTAGGCACTCTGCCTGACTTAGTCTCATACGTACACACTCACTCACAGTTTTTTTCCTAATTAAACAGCTGTGTCTGCATTATGCTTTAGAAAGTGGTACTAGCAAATATCACTGTTCATTCTTCCTCCATCTCTTCCTCCAGTGCCATCCTCACTGGTTCCCTATATTTTTCACTTATGAGCCAAAAAAGAGACTCACCAAACATCTTAAGAGAAAGAAATATATTCAGCTCTACCACGGATACCTTGAGATGTCCAGACAGAAAGACACTGGGAGTTTAATTCCAAAAGGAGAAATATAAAAGGATAGTAATCGTTAAAGTCTGTTCAAAGGGCTCCAAATTTCAGCAAATGATTATGATTATGAAATGAAGTACGCACCTGTCCTATCGGAAAGGAGGCTCCTCAGACTAAAACCAGTGGCTCTTTGCTGATAGTTAAGACTGAGAAGGCAAAGCACATTCTGAAATGCTTCCACCTCGGAGTCGCTCTCCGGAGCTGCTCTCTAGTGTGAGTTCTCCCCCGTTTTCTTACATGCTTTCAGTATGCAGGGAACTAAGTCCACTAAAGCATTTTCTTCTAAGTAGGGTATTGATGGTTAAAACCTATACTATATACTATAAGTTAACTTTAAAACCTTATCTGAATTGGACATCTTCCCCACAATAAACAAACATGCAGCCCAGGGATTTTCTTTTACCTGAAACAGCAGGTCATGGAGTCGTCCTTTAGTTAACTGTTTTCGAAGTGACTCAACAGTCGCTATGAAAAAAATTTATAAGCAACTCAATATGACCACTTTAACCACCTTTGCCCACAGTACATATTATTGCTTTATAAACTTGTACTGGCTTTCCGTCTGGGGCCTGAGGAAAGGAGAGGGAACACTGACTTCTGCAGTCTCTACTTAAGAAAATAGAAAAGCATGCTGCAACAGCTAAGCCACAACACCCTGGGGTATTTAAAACTAACAATGCAAGTGAATTGTCTTCTGGATGTGAGTCACAGAATCACAATCTGAAAATAAAGAATGCAGGGACTAGGGGCATAGCTCAGTGGCGGAGCATTGGCAAAGCCCTGTGTTTGATCCCCAGCACTGCAAAAGCAAACCAAGAAGAAACACTCTACAAGCCATTCAGTGCAACCTCCTGCAAATCTCCATTAAGTTTCTGCTCAGTCCCCAGAATGAGGGTCCTACAATTCCAAGAGTCCTAGTAGATCTGAGACCTTGAGAACACCAGTGTCCAGGAGGCTGAGCTGGTAACTTGCACACCGTGGAGCCCAGTTCAGGCTTCCAGTGCAGTGCTCAGTTCTGTGTGCTATGCTGTGCCCTTGGAAATATTTATCTTTTCACTTAACTAAAATCTGTTTCCTACTAACTGTCAAAGTCTTATCTCTCAGAAAATGGAAAGGGGGAAAAAGGTCTATTTAGTACTGTAAGTTACATAATCACACGCTGCCTGTTTGGCAACCCATCCTTTTTGAAATACAGCTGGGTATGAGAAAATAAGCCCAAATCGTTTGAAAAACCAATGCAGATACAGTACTGCTACCCATGCCCTTTACACGTGTGACAAATCTCACACATTGACAGACAGTGAGCTCTGAATTTATGCGTTATTCTCACAAGCTTGACTGCTTTCTCTGCTCACAGGAGATTAAGAGCAAAAATTAAAAGAGGGTAGAGAGCTCTGCTAGATGCCCGTATATTAATAGCTACGACTATTTTTTGAAATCACTGATGGCCAGGCAAATTCTTAACAGCAGATCTTCTGGTGTCCAAAGCACAGAGAAATCTGGTGCTTCTTATTTCACAAACTAATCGTTTTATTTCTCCCTAGCCAGAAGAACTTCAGAGCCATGAAAATAGTACTGATATATATGAAAATAATTTTTTTTAATTTTTCAGGAAAAACACCATTAAAGCTTTGATTATATAGGATATTATCCATGGAAAAATTCCATTTTATAAAATTTTTTATAGAAACAACTTACTATTCAACTAAGTATTAAATAGCTCCTAGATCAGTGGTGGTGAACCTATGGCACACGTGCTAAAGCAGACTGTTTGTCCTAGATGTAGTACTAAGATCTCATGATCCTAATCATCTCCAGTAGGTGAAAACATTTTTAACCCAAAGTAATTACATTTTTTCACATTAATACTTAAACTTTTGGATATTTTCAAACCTCTTTGTGTTAGGCAAACTAGAAACAAGGCCTTATCCTCTTCCTAACCTACGTTCATACAGCAACCAAAGCTTTCAGAATCAGAATACCATCTTAGTATTAAAACTCAGAAATGAGTGAGTACGACACTGTCAAAATTGCCCATCTGCTCTCCCACCAGGCAAGCCTGGGTTTTAGAAACAATCTATCTCAAAGCATTCAAATTGAAAATCTTATTTCAACAGATGTTTTGTGCAGCGAGTAGCAACTATTTCCATATTTTCCATATGGCAAAACAAACTGGCTTATGACCTCAATTTGCATGCACTTTTGAATTCTGTGTTTGGAGTTGGACATTCAATATCTCTGGGACATTTAGGCTTCACATAGATACAAGTAAAACAATGGCCAGCATATCCCCACCACTGCCATCTGTGATGGAAAGTGAGAGCAGGTGTCTTGGATGTGTTGCCTTTGAAGGAAGCTGAGATAAAGCCACTTTCTAAATGACTGTGTGCACTGGAGCTTTCAGGCAAAGGGTCCACAATTAATTGACTATTCAAAAATCAAAACTGCAACACTATCGGAGCTGTTATAATACTAGTCAGTTATCGATGATGGTTGCCATTTATGGAGTATGAACTCTTTATAACGCAAGATATATATGTTCCCCACCAAAAAACCTTATGCTCTATAAAATTGTGCATTAAAAATATTAGGGTTCATTAACCACAGACTAAGAATACTATTTAGACATATAAATCTGTCGGAGGACTTACATACCTAATAATGAAAGGACAAAGAACATAATTTTAAAATGGGCAAATGAGTTAGATACTTTACCAAAAAAGATATACAATGACCAATCAACATATGAGAAAGTGCCGATTATCTTTAGTCCTCTAAATGGTAGAAATTAAAATCACTGAAATATCAGTAGAGTAGCTTAAATGAAAAAAACCTGTCAACACTTACTATCACAGAAATGGAACACCAGAAGCTTCCACACAGTGCTGGTGGAGTGTGAAATGCTATATATCATGGAAAAATATTTGGAAGGTTCTTAAAAAGCTAGAGCTCCAACTACGGTATGACCTGGTAGATTTCTCCTAGGCATTTATATGAGGTGACATAAGAACTCTTGTTCACACAAAGACAAATGTTCATAATCGCTCTACCCAATATAAACAAAAAAGACAGAGACTTTAGATATGCAAAATGGGGTAAAAGACAAATTGTGGATTATCCATACAAAGAAATACAACTCAACCATAGAAATTATTACTGATAAACGTAACACATGTGAATCTCAAAAATATGCTAAGGGGAAGCGGAAGCAGACACACACACACACACACACGCACACACACACACACAAAACGCATGGTGCAATTCAATTCTAGAACAGGCCAAACTACCCCAATCAGATCAGGGTTGTTCCTTGTGGCCGGCCTGGGGGAGGGGCATGAAACTGGGAAGTTGTTCAAAGGAAACTTTCTGATAGAGGTTCTGGGTTTTGAAGTGCTATTTGTCTAACTGGTTGAAGAACACACTTAAGATGTGAACTCTTTACGATATCGTATAGGTAAAAAAGATTCAAAAATTACAAGAAAAATGACAACGAGGTTTATGAAATAAGGAGGGGTTAGGACGAAATCGCAAAGAAGTATGTGCAGCATTGTCACTAGAGCACTAACAAACACAGTCGCTAAATTATTGTTACCCAGGGAGAGAATGTGGATCACCCAGGCATGCATCTTAAAACGCCCACCGGATACTAAAAACACACGAAACCACAGAGTGGAAATGCTAGTGCTGCCTTAAACGGAACAACGCTGGCATCATGCTGAGAAAGGGCAGATGGGAGTGGGACTCTCAGCCAGGGGTGAGCTCTGGGAGCAGCCTCACAGAGAACTCTGACAGGCTGGGGTGAGCCTCTGCGGAGGAAGGTTCAGGTGCAGACACTGATTTTTAATTTTCTCAAAATAAAGTTGCAAGAGCTCCTGGTGCTTGTTAAGCAGCCAGGCTAACGGTTTTTTTCCTTTCCTCCTGAAGGCGATAGTTCTTGCGTCTTCCAACTTAGATCTTATTCTCAAGAAAGTTATGTATGGGCTGGGGATTTAGCTCAGTGGTTTGGTGGCCTGCCTTGCAAGCGCAAAGACCCGAGTTCAATCCCCAGCACCAAAAAAAAAAAGAAAGTTATGTATGAAACAAAAGAATGTCCCTATTGTCCTAACACGTCATTCACTCCCCATTTACCAATGATCACAGAAAAGGGTAATTCACATCACAGAAGTGTGGTCTAGCAGTAGACCACCTATGTAGACCACCTATAGCCAAGCAGTAGCCACTGACTTGTATTTGTGTTATCTGCATTTCACAACTGAATTACACGGGAGAGGATACAAAGGTACACAGTGGTAAAGTGATTTGCGCAGTTCTACCCAACGACTCTTTTGTAGACTTGATATGAGTTGGTTAAACTTCAAATCCCGTGCTCTTAAACCATTATACCATGATAATATCACTTCATTCACATCTGCATTTTCGCTTGGGAAAACCTATCCTATCAGAGGTGCTGAACAGGCTATAATGATTTGAGCTTTCTCCTTGGTCCCAATTCCAGCATCTTTTAGCTTTAAGCACCTTATCTTTCAGCATTCTTTGGCTCATTGCCCTTGATTATTGGCTGTTTGGGACACATGGTTCTCATCCTTCATCCATCCTCAGATCTTAAGGATCCCTCTCTCATACCTCATATGCCCCCTATACTGAGAAAAGCCAGCTAGAAATGAGTTTTCCATGAGATTATCTCAGGAAAGCTTTCTCAAAACCAAAGTTTACCTGTAGACACTCAGATCCTCAACTAAGGCACAGTGATAGGCGTTTCTTAGGATCTCTCCCCAAGGAAATATTTATGGTTCCTAAGGTAATTAATTTGCTTGTTGTCTGTTAAGTAATTCAATTTTGATTTCACATCAGCTAGGGACAAGAGACAGTGAATAGTAAGGGATGAATAGATCAATCAATCTATGATTAGTCCTATAGATAAGATGCATCCTAATGTGTTTTATGCATACCCTACATCTAAGAAATTGTTTAGATTTCCTTTTCAAAGCTAACATCCATTTATAATCCACTACTGTCTATGGTCACAAGAAACGTAGCTGTAAAAACAGAAGAAAATCTAAAAGTAACTACTCACAAAATGTAGCAGTTCTTGTGGCACATTTCATGGAGGCAAAGGTACACACCAATCATTTTATAAATCACTTTGGTCCCGTGGTGGTTGAAAACTTTGATAATATACTTTATTCAACATGAAGTTCAGGATTTATAATCAAACGTTATAAGCAACTTCCCAATTGTAGTTTGTACACATTGCTGTTGGCCTGAACACTTGAGCAAACCAAACAAATCCCCCCAGAATTTGCTGATAAATCTTGTCAGATGGATCGGAAAGCAATGGTTTTAAGCATTTTGCTAATTTATTGAACTAGCTGAAGAGTTTCAGAAGAGCTAAGTAGATTTAAATATCTTTCTTTTCTGACTCAGAATTCAAATGTTTGACTCAGAACTCAAGCACCATGGGGTGGCTGTGGTTACGGTGTTATATGTGTGGACATGTTTGTCTAAAAACTGTCCCACCTCACTGCTGTCTTGATCTGTCTGGAATACCTGCAGTAGAGAACTTTTTTTTATATACTCTCTATCTCAAGTTTCTTCTTCTCCCAAAGGGAGACTTCTAAGGGATTAGGGGAACCCTTCTAGATGAATGGCTTTATAAGAAAAATCCTGGTATGTGTGCCTTTTTGGGAGCAGGGAAACAAACAAACAAACAAGAAAGGAATTTCCTAAATCTGGGCAGCTTATGAGCAATTGAAGACAGAAAGAAGTGTTCGTCCTACTTTATCCAGGCAAAAAAGGTACATTCAACAAAAATGTCTTTCATGTACTGCTTTTAATAATATTTAAACCAATTATCCCCTAAGGATGAACTGGGAAGACAGGGACAAGTTGATAATATCAAGAGTACGCACTTTGGTAGAGGTTACAAAAGTTGATTCTTCAGAGAAAGTGCTGCCAGAAAGGCATGCTATGGCTTGCATTTAGATGTCCCTCCAAAGCCTCTTGTGGTCATAGGTGGGGCTTTTTCAGAGGTGGCTGGATCTAGAGTGTGTGATGCTGGAACTGATTCAAGGTGCAATGCTAGGATCAAGGGCACTAGGATTAAGGGTGTGCTACCCACCCTAAGTAGCCTGGGTAAAATAGAAGGGATAGAAAGATCCGTGGTCATCCTTTGTTGCTTTACTACCTTCTGCCTGCCATGAATTGTTTTAACCCCCATCCATGCCTTTCTGCTATGCCACCCTGCCTTGGAGCCAGCTGATTATGAACTGAAACCTCTACAAACCGTGAGCTAAATAAGGCTTTTTGCCTTTAACTTTGGCTATCAGGTATTTTGTCTCAGCAATCAGAAAAGTAACAAAGACAAAATCTGGTACCAGAGAAGAAGGGTCATTTCTGTGACTTAACCTGCCCATGTGACTTAGGAGCTTTTGGAGCTGACTTGTGGAAAGGGGAAGAGTTAGGAAAGGGTTGGAGATGCTGGTTGAAAAAAGTAGAGCTAGAACACCTGAGGCTGTACTTGATGAGAGATTCTGGTCAAATCCCAGAAGACCAACAGAAATTCTGCCGGAGAAGAACAGGCTCAGGAGGTTTCCCCTGGGAACGACTGCACCAGCTGTTGAACTCCAGACAATGTGTATTGTGCCTACACAGAGAATTTGTCTGCATTTAGCTCCTGTCCAGAGACCTTACCTGAGACTGAGATTAAGGGCAGAGGACTAATTAATCTGGCAGAAAATTCCAAGGCAGTCTAATGTTGAAGCGGTTGCATGGCTACTATTGGGGGCTTTTAGGCAGATTTATGTTGAGAATCAAGAGCAAAGAGCCCAGCAGAATGATTTAAAATATTTTGAGTTTGGCCAGAAAGGAAGCTCCGGTAAAGTTGGTGCCTGCAAAGATGGAACAGAGGAGAAATTGGTCACTGAAGACTAGCAAAAGAAAGCCAAGTATTTCAGAAGACAACAATAGAAAAGATGGCCTGAGGACATCACAAGAACCAAAAACACTCCAGCTTCTGCAGCCTCAGAGTTGCAAAGATGAAAGACTTTGCTTTGAGAAGAGAACTCCAGAGCACCGTGTCCAAGAATGGCAGCAGCCTAGGGAATTTGTATTTGGTTCATAAGCACTGAACCCCAACAGCCAAGAGAGAAGGGAGCCCGGCTACTGCTCTAGTTGGCAGCAGACCTTGGCATCATCCACGTGGTGCTGGTTTTAGGTGTATGCAGAATGTAGAGTTGTGGGGTCAGGAAGGTTTCAGAAGAAGTCAGATTTCAGAAGAAGGCCTGGGAAGCTAGGCAGTGAGCTCCTGAGGAGGCAGTGGGTGAAGCTGTGAATGTGAAGCTAAAGGTGCAGGAGAAACCCCAGAAGTTTGGAGATGCTAGGAACAGTGATAATCTGAGGAAAACCAAGAGTAAAGAGCAGAATTGGTCCCAGAGTGAAGCCATGGGAGCTACAACTACAGGCAATGCTATAGGGGTGGAACCACCCATGCCTATTAGAGTTCATAACTTGCCACAGATTGCCTGGGACGCTGGAAGTGGAAATTTTTGGACTTGCTTTGGTCCCATTCCTTTATATCCCCCATTTGTACCTTTTGGAATGAAAATGTCTATCTTATGCCATTGAATGTTGGAAGTGTTTAACTTTCATTAGTACAGGGGCTTGCAGCTTAAGAGTCTGCCTTAAATTTCAGAGACTTTGGATTTAATTTTCAACAATGCTAAAACAGGACTTTGGCAACTCTTGGAGATGGACCAAATGCCTTTTGCATAAAGGGGTGTGCCTGAGTCTTGAGGGTCTAGGGTGGAGTGTTACAGCTTGTGTCTAGATGTCCCCCAAAGCTTTGTGTGGTCATAGGTGGGGCACTTCAGAGGTGGCTGGATGAAGAACATGTGACTGATTCATGGCTCAAGGCTAGGTTCAAGGGTGCTAGGATTAAGAAAGTGAGGGCTAAAGAAGATGTGGTTTTTCTATAAAACTGAATATTACTCAGCCATAAAGAATGAGAAAATAGATTCATTCATAGGAAAATGGATACATATTGAAGATATGCTCCTAAGTGAAATAAATAAGTCACACATGTGTAAATACCAAATAGTTTCCCTGGTGTGAATAATCTGCTATAATACATTAGATCCTACTAAGATTACTGACATTTAGAAATGGGAAGAAAGGAGCTAAAGGTGTAGGGAAGGTGGATTGGGTAGGGGAAGGGTAATAAGGGAAAAGAAAAAAATGTGAGATAATGAAAAGATGAAAATAAAGTGTTTGTAGATGGGGAGGGGAGGACGGGATGAAGGGAGGGCAGGGGTAAGGGGAAAAAATGAGAATCAAGACTTGTCATGTAGAGGTACAAGATCCCAACAATGAATGTAACTGTACTGTATCCCTAAAATGTACCAATAAACTCAAAGCTGAAAAAAAAAAAAAGAATGTGAGGCCTACCCACCCTAAATAGTCTGGATAAAATATAAGGGATAGAAAGAGCTGTAGTCATCTCTTACTGCTTTCCTACCTTCTGCCTGCCATGAACTATTTCTCCTCTGCAGTACCTGCCTTGGAGCCAGCCAATTATGGACTGAAACCTTTACAAACAAACTGTGAGCAAAATGATCCCTTCCTCCTCCTTTTTTTTTTTTTAACTAGGGATCAAACTCAGGACCTTGGACTTGTGAGGCAGGTGCAGCACCACTGAGCTAAGTAACCAGCCCAATCCTTTCTCCTTTTAACTGTGTTGTGTCAAGTTATGAGAAAAGTAACTAAGACAACACAGAAAGAAGGGAAGTCAAATTCTTAGCAGCCATATAAAAGTATGGGGTATAATATTGATTTAATGTGAAGATAACTGGACCAAAGGATTCATCTTCTGAGAACAGTATCTAATGCAGACATGCCTTAAACCACATTTAGAATGACTCATGTCTCAACAAGAACAATTCTAATCACCAAGAAGCCTCCTGCAATATCCTGAGTAATAAAAAAATAAGACCTAGACTTTGTAATTTAAAGCATGCCTCACATTGGTAACAGAGTGAACCAAAATGAACCAGCACTTACTAGAATTATTAAAAACTGACAAGTTCATAAAGATTTAAGAATAAAATGTTGAATACCACTGCTATTACAAAACTAGAGAATTTGTTACAACTCGTAAGCAGCTTTCTGAGATAACTGTGAAAGGATACAACAAATCCCAAACACACACAAAGCCTGAAACTTTTCACCTCTAGCTTACTTTAAGCTTATATTTAATTGTTTGTTACTTTCTATAAAAAGAACAATTATACAGCTAGGATAAGAAGCTCCTGGAAAGAAAGCAGCTGTCTGATAAATGGCTAAAGAAATAAGCTTTATTTTTACTGTACTGTGTTTCTAGAACAAGTTTATAAATAATTTGACATCTGCAATTTGACAATTGTCTTCTCACATATATTTTTAATATGTGCTTATGCATTTTTGGGCTACAGAAAAAGTACAAGTATTCCAATTTCTAAAACGTAAAATATGCAAGTCAACTACACATCAAACGTTTTAAAGATTTTTCATACATACTTAATATTTTGGTACGCTATGAATTCATACCTGTTTTTCCCAACCCCCTACTAAAAGGAAAATAGAGAAGCAGGCCCTTTTTCACCATATGACAGCTAAAAATTAGCTAAGAAAATCAGGACAGAAATATGTAAAACAATTTAAGAGAATACATATTCCGGGCCAGGGATTTAGCTCAATGGTTCGGTGGCCTGCCTTGCAAGCGCAAGGACCTGAGTTCAATCCCCGGTACCAAAAAAAACAAAAAAACAAAGAGAATACATATTCCTATTGTACAGATTTTTTTTCTCTTTGTTTACTTGAAGAAATTTGAGAAGTTCCATTTAATTTTAAAAGAAAAAAAAAGGCATGAACCAATCTAACTCCAAATAAACAACCAACAAAGCAGGTTAACTGTCACACTCAAGTCCCCAGCTCCTGGCTGAACCTCTTTGATGACCTCACAATACGGTTCTCCCAGACCATCTCTTGTCATAAATTCAGTAACAACGCAGCAGATGGAATGCAGAAAAATGGCCCTAGTGCTTCGGCCCCACTTCAGGGTAAAATGAGCCGGGACATAAACGGACATCTGCTACTTACTTTTCAGTGTTCTTGTCTTCTGCTCAAGGGTCTGGCGAGTGTTCGATAGCTCGGTATTTATAGTGTGGAGGTTCCGCTGCTCCAAAATTGCTTCCTCTAGTTCTTGCGGTAGAGACTTAGCTTTTTCCCTGGCACAGTGGGCTGTCTGCTCTTGATTCTTCACCTGGATACACGTACAGTTAATACAGGATTTTAGCAAGTGACCAGGGAAGAAATCAATCAGGCGCTCACTCTATTAGGCACACAAAACTGAAAATATGCTTTTCTTCTCAGGGAAGTGATAAGCCTCTCCTGAACTTCTGCAATCCCGTGTTTGCATGTGCTCTGTGTGCCCGAGCTATTTCTACAGCAGCAAAAGTCCTGATAGTCAAGTTCCCTCCTCCTGCAAAGCTGCCTCTTTCATCAGCAGGCTGCAGACACCGCCCCTTTTACCACTTCCCTACACTTCCGCCTCTCGCTGTAGTCACTAGGGACTGAGCTTTACAGTTTCTTTTTTGTTCCTCCTCCATGGTTTGGAGGACATCTGAGGAGCTTTCTCCGGAGTCTAACGTAGCCCAGTCCTGCCTACCTGCTGTTCGGCCTCCTCCAGCTGTTCGCTGGTCTCCTGGACCTTCTTCCTGAGGATGGCTTCCTGGTTGACAGCATCTTCTTGCAGTTGTTTGATGGCTTCTAGTTGTTTCTGACTGATGTTTGAAAAAACAAAAGAGTCCAAACCACAAGCTGTCAATGACATTTCAACTAAGAGTCACTTTGGGAAATGGTGACAAATTTAAGCACGTACTTCCTGAACGATCAGAGAAAAAAAAAGCGAAAGTGTGTACGTGTGAATAAATTCTTCACAGATACAGAATTTCAAGCAAGTGATCACTTAGCCTTTGCGTTACAGGTGAGGACACTCCACTTCCCGTGGCACACCGGTATTTTCAGTTCCCCACAAGCCATGTTCACAGCACTGGGCATCAGGAGGCGGCTGTACCTTGAGCTCAGGGTGACAGGAGTAATGCCCACACTTCACAGCTAGCTTTTTACAGAAAAGGCAAGGAAAAAAAAAAGACAGGAAAAGGAAACCAGAGGGTCTCATGACCTGAGCCTTTCTCCTCAGGGTTGTCAGCCACGGTAGAAATATTTTTCGTCAGCTCAGCAAGGGTCAGCCCCAAACAGAGAGGGAAGCCAGCTGTGGCTATCCCCACTATAGTTCCCTTTTGCTAAAGCCCTTCCCCTCCCCTTTGGCCCACCTCAATTCTTAGAATCATTGCTTTTTTTCCCTTGGATCCAATACTCATCCAAATGTATCCATTCTGCTAACCGATGAGATTATTCTGTGCTGCAGGTTAACACACCAATGGTTATCTGGCAACAATAGACCTTGGGCCTTAATTCAACGTGGGCATTTCAAAGCAACGAGGAAGATATCACTAGGCCTAGACCTTTTTCCTGCCTCTCCAGTGTCAACACAGTGAGAGTCCCATTGGCATAAATCCAGATCTGATTACGAGAAGGACCACATCAGAAGCTGGGCTAATCTTACAGAATGCTTTACCTCTGTAGTACACACAAAAATCCTAAACAAAATAAAAACTAAATCACCACATGCTTTCTACTGAACATTCCTCAATAGTTTATACTGCATTTTTTCCCATCTTTAGCAGGAGCACTTAATGTGACAGCTATGCACAGAACGTTTTTAGATATACAATACAGCATTAACCAAAGACTTTATGTGTACAGCCGATCACTACAACTTTTGAAGACTAAAACTTTCTACCTGTTGACTTAGCAACTGCCTATCTCTTCTTCCCGTGCCTGCAGCAAACATCATTCTACTTTCTGCTTCTAGAGGTTGAAGCATTTTAGATAAACTCAGATAAATGGAGTCACGCAGGATTTGTCCCGTGATTAAGTCATTTCACTTAGTGTCATGTTCTGCATGTGCACTTATTTTCACATAAGCCTGAGTACACAGGCACATTCATCTATGTTATTCATCCATTGATAAATAGGTTGGTTCCACGTCTTCATTATTATGAATAACACCGCACTAAACATGGAATACAAATCTCTGAGATCCCAATTTCAAACCCTTTGGGTAAATATCCAGAAATGGGAGGGCTGGGTCAAGTGGCAGTTACAGTTTTAACACTTTGAGAAATTTTCATATTGTGCTTGCCGTGTTTCATGTTCTGCCCACATTGCAAAAGGGCTCTGGTTTCTTCACATCTTCACCAACAGGTGTTAACGTTCTTTTGTTTTTTGGTTTTTTTGGTTTTTTTTTTTTTGGTACCAGGGATCAAACTCCAATGGCAGAACCACTGAGCTAAATAAATCCCTGGGCCTTTCTTTTGTATTTTATAATAGCCACTCTAAGTTATGAGACAATTTCTTTTTTTTGGTAGCGGGGATTGAACTTGGGTCCTTGTGCTTGCGAGTCAGGCCACTGAACCACTGAGCTAAATCCCCGGCCCTGAGACAATTTCTAATTGTGGTTTTAACTTGCATTTCCTGGATGATTGGTAATGTTGAGTATCTTTTTATGCAATTGCTAATTATTTGTGTATCTTTGGAGAAATGTTTTTTCAAGTCCTTTGCCCATTTTAAATCTTTTGTTTTTGCTATATAGTTGAGTTCCTTACACATTTTGAATGTTAGCTCTTCAACAGATAGTTTCCAACAATTTTCACCAGTCCCGTAGTTTCGTGTATTGTGCAGATTTATAGTCAGATGTACTCCCGTATATCTGTTTTTGCTTGCATTTGCCTGTGCTCTTGGCATCCTAAACTTTTATCAAAACCAAAACCACAAAGCTTCCCCAACACACACTTTCTTCTATAAATGTTATAGTTTCAGTTCTTATATTGAAGTTGTATCTGGTACAAGACATCCCTATAGAGTTCAATTTCATTCTTTTGCCTGTGGGTAGCCACTTTCCCCAGTAGCATTTGTTGAGGAAATTATCCTTTCCCTATTGTGTATTCTTTGCATTCATATTAAAGATCACTTGAGGCCGGGGATTTAGCTCAGTGGTACTGCGACCTGCCTCGCAAGTGCAAGGACCTGAGTTTGATCTCCGGTACCAAAGAAAAAAAACAAAAATCAGTTGCCCATACATGCCTGGGTTCATCTCTATGCTCATTTTTTCTCCCCCAATACCAGGGACTGAACTCAGGATATTGCGCTTTCAGATGGTATGCCACCGAGCTAAACCCCGATCCCTGTGCTCAATTCTGTTTACTCATGTATGTGCCTATCTTCACGCCAGGATTGCACTGATTAACTACTGTGGCTCTGAAATATTTTTTTGAAGTCAGAAAGACTAATGCCTCCATTTTTGCTGCTAAGATTATTTTGAGAAGTGGTGGGTGGGTGTGTGTGTGTGTGTGTGTGTGTGTGTGTTTTGTTTTTGGTACTAGGGATCAAACTCCAGAACTTGTGCTTGCGAGGCAGGTGGTGGAACCACTGAGCTAAAAATCCCTAGCCTTGTTAGAACAATTTTGTTACTTGTGGTTCTATATAAGTGTTTAAGATTTTATTTCTCTTTCCATAAAAAAGCTCATTGGGATTTCTTCATAGGGATCTCATTGTAGCTATAAACTGCTCCGGGCAATTGAAAAATGTTAAATTTTCCAATCCATGAACGCAGAGAGCATTCCATTTTTTTTTCGTAATTTCTCTCAATGTTTTATAGGCTTTAGTGTGAGTTATCTAAATTTATTCTTAAGCATTGTTTTTTGCTATTATGAGATTTCCTTTTCAGATAGTTCACTATTAACATGTAAAAGTGAAACAATTTCATGTGTAGATTTTGGATCCTGCAACTTTACAAAATTCATTTATTTCAACAAGTGTCTTATGGAATCAATTTAGTTTTCTACATAAAAGATCATTTCACCTGCAGACAATTTTACTTCTTCCTTCTGATTTATATGCTTTTTTTTCTAATGCACTAAGATCCCAGTATATTAAATGGAAGTGGTGAGAATGGGCATCACTGTTATTTTTTCAGATCTCAGTGAAAAAGCTTTAAATTTTTCTTAGTTAAGATCTTACCTGTGTTTTTTTTTGGTACCAGGGATCAAACTCATGACCTTGTGCTTACAAGGCAGGCATGGTGCCACTGAGCTAAACCCCCAGCCCTGTGGACTTTTCATAAATGACTATTATGTTGTTACTTTCCTGAGTTTTTACGGGAAAGACTGTTGAATTTTCTCAAATGCTTTCTCTGCACCTTATAGAGATAACTTTATGACCCCCCTTACTCTGTGCATTTGGTGTATCACATTGATTGATATATATATATTGATATATTTGCTGGGGTTAAATCCCACTTGGTAGTGGTTATGAGCCTACCATGTTGTTGAATTTTGTTTGCTCATATTTTGTTGAGGATTTTTCATCTATATTCATGAAGGATACCGGCCTGGGATTTTATCAGTGGTATTGCCTGGCTTTGATATCAGGGTACCGTTGGCATGACAAGGCGAGTTCGTAAGTGTTTGATACTTTAAGAGTTTCTGAAGGATTGATTTTTATTCATCTTTAGGTGTTTAGTAAATCATCTTTTCCTGGATTTTTTTTTTTTTTTTTTTTTTTTT